CTGTGGTTTCGTTGGCGGGCGAGAGTGAAGCAGGCGACTTTTTGGCAACTTTTAGTCGCTCAGTATTAATTAACCACAAGTTTTTAAAGAATGAATTTGGTGTTCCGCATAAGACTAACCACAAATCTTTCACATGTAATAGTTAAAAGAGTACCAAAAAAAAAGTTTATTTGTTCTTTAACATTGCCAGTATATATAGTGGCCACATGAAGGCGATCAAACATGCAGATGTTAGAGGAAGAGATGCTAGGCTCGGGGCTTTTTACAGTTGAGCAAGAACCAAGCTAGCAATAGTGGATTCCCTTTGAGTTATTCACGCAAAGTTGTAGCTAGTAAGTATTGTTTTACGGCGCCATTAGCAATATTCCAGCAATATCCCGGCGGGGACACCTGAAATGGGCTTCACACATTGTACCCCATGGGGAATCGAACCCGGGTCCTCGGCGTGACGAGCGAACACTTTAACCACTAGGCTAACCAACCACCCCACAAAATTTTAGTTTCAAACAACACACACTATACTGAATTCAGGCGAATGTCACACCATATAGGCCCAACGGGACATAACCTTGATGTGACACCTTTGTCACTGGTCATTTCACCACTGGAGTATTAGGTTTGGAGTGGCGACATCTCAGGATTCAGAGGATCTCAGCAGAACCATGTTCCACAAAAAGGGCGTGCCCGATGGACTGGCACATGACAGGGCTGCAGTGACTGCTGTGTATTTAGAAGAAGGATGGCGGTATCAGGGTCCCATCTGAAATCATCTGGGCGCGTGTCGAGTGTTCTGGGCGCGTGTTAAGCGTTCCTGGCGTTGTGTCACCGATAAATATCATCCTGTGGAGGGAAATGATGCACTTCCCGTTAAGAGTGCTTCTGTCTCGGAAGGAAATAGCTCACTTAGAAACATCGGTGACCTATGACATTGTTCACACTTTTGATTGTGTGCCTGTAGTTAGTGGTATACTTGAGTGAGTAGTGTATAACGCTTTTAACAATATACCAGTTAATCACAGCGTTACCACTTGATGTGAAGGAAATTCCCGAAGTGGTGCAGGTCGCACAGTCATGTTTAATTGCTTCCTCGGTGAAAAGCAAAAGTGCAGGTGCTGGCAAGCGTAGAAACACAATAACGTCAAAACAGGAAGTCTAACCCACAAGCACAGGCTACTGACGCATCCAAGGGACACAACTCTGCACAGCGGTGCCTTAGACGACTGGACCGCTCGAACTGTGTGAAATAGAATTAACAAACAATGGTATCTCAATAGACACAACAGACCTCGTATAGGAACGCATGCATATACAAGAGACATCAGCTCCATGACCGTGTTGATTGCATTGGGCGTCTAACTGTCCTACCTGGTTATAATGCCACCCTGGATATAATGCCATATATTCTCCTGGACAAACGGTGGCATTATAACCAGGGTATACTGTATTCTTCTTCTAACTTCTCAAACATGTCCAGTGATTGAAAAGAATTCAACCACCTTACGCTGTGGAGCACTGACTCAGTTCTGCGCATGCTTGACAATTGGTACATCTAAGGTACCATCGTATTTTTTCAGAAATGACTGGATTGTCGTCCCAAGGTATAACGACTCGGACTATGTATCCGCCCATGTCTCACATTCGGCACACCTCGGATAGGCACGTAGTTTTTCAGGAGTGACTGACGAGCTTTAACCGGTCGTTTTTGACTTTGGGTTGACTTCTCAGTCCTCGTCCGCATGCACCACAAGTTGAAATACACGAGATTTTTAAATGAATGAATGGGATTATCCTCCACTTTCTCTACCTGTCTTGACCTGCCGGACTTGCTGACTGAGTGACCATGTTCCTTCATTTCTTTCTGCGTTGTTGTTTCAAGATGGCCGAACCCGAGTTTTCTTCCCCATGTATCATCGTCTCTCTTTGAAGATAATCCCAACCTATTATCTACAACCTTAGAAGGAGTTCTAAACCCCTCACCTGTTGACAATGAACCCTGAACTCCAGAGCTGCACTTCAATGTTTCAATGGATGTGCTGGCTCTGTGATACGGGATAGACGGCAGCGAGTTCTCTGCTGCTGTGAAGGTTTTTGACCGAGTCAGCGTCGGCTCTTCCTTGTTCTCAACAACACTCAGTGCCTCCAAACACAGAGCAATGTTCTTTGACTTATGAAGCAAGGTGCTCGTCCTGGAGTTGGTCTCCAGCTTCCTCCGCGTGTCCGCATCTTCCTGCAGTTGAAAGTACACCTCAGACCCCGCCAGTTCTATCACCGGGGTCACCCGCCTCTGCCACAGTCGTTTCCTCTGATGAAGACTCAGGGTCCTGGGACAGACCCTCCTGGGGGTCCAGCTCCACCTGAGCTAGCTTGACCCGCTCGGAATCTGTAGACTTGGTCTCATGGTGAGGCGTACGTACATTGAGACTGACGAGAGTATCAAACAGTTCCGTCTTCTCCCTGCTAATTCTGGACACCATCTTCAAGCGTTGTAGATCCAGCTTTCTCTCTTCCTCTCGCAACTGCTCTGCTATTTTCTTGTTAGCCGTGTAGGCTCCCAGTACGTTGGTCATTCTGCGGTCAAGGACTACTTGGTCCTTCTTTATCTTCATATATACTGCAGGACTCTCACTCTGATGTGGCTCGTTGTTACTTAGTAAAGGAATGATCTGATTCCCACACTGAAGGGCTAGGATGCCTCAACAGTGTTTATAAGTCACTAAAGAGTTACCAAGCTGTTTTCTATAACCATACCACTACCTCACGGTGTGCCCGTAAACACTGTCCAATCATCGAAAGCAAACTATGTACACACAAACCCAGACAATATGCTTTTGGACTATCAATCCTTCCACATGTTATCGGTTATTAAATGTAGCATGCACGGTAGCACACACCGAGCAAGATAAATATTTGACATACACGTGTCTTAACAGTGGCACACGATTGCATTCACAGAGACAGGACTGGTACTATGTCCCTTTGTCTCGACGTGACGTGATCACACGTCTTAAGTACACAACCGCGGACGACGCTGAGCGGCGGTAAGTGTCCGGGTGGGCAACATTGACAGCTGTCTCTTTGCGACGTTTACAACATATTGCTTCTGATGTTTGCAGTGAAATCAGATATGGCAATCGTGCTGGGATATCAACGACAGACTGATTCTTCTTCAGCGCAGGTACGGCCTAAACCCTGACTTGTAAAAGGTTATGGAAATACCTGTTGTAGTTAGTGCAATATTTGTAATCGTGAATGCGGATTTAGATGTGAATGATGTTTGCCGTTATAAGTAGTGATACGCTTTGGACACTGACGATATGTGTGGGTCCACGAAAAACTTAATTTTAATTCTTGCTTGTTTTGAAGTCGTGTTGTTAACAGAGTCCCATACCATCCATGGAAAGGGCGACAGCGGTATCACTGTATCTGAACAATTAATGTACTCAATGACTTGCATGTCTTCTCTGACATAAAAGGCACAATAATGGGCGCTTTTTTGTATTTCTTCAATGCTACACTCAACATATTCCTAATATATGACCGTGGTCTGCCAGTAATGGCGTCTGGACCAGACACTCCAGTGATTGACATTATGAGCTTTAATCTACGAATGACGTGTGTTACCACTTACCGAGTCTGACTATCCAATCTCTTAACACATTCTAATCCTGTGTTTATGTTTTGTTTGGATTGGATTTTTGTTTACACCCCAATCAGCTATATTCTATCATATGGCGGCGTTCTGGACCAGACGTTCCAGTGATTCACATCATGAGCATCGATTCATGCAGTTGGGATACGATGACATTCATCAACCAAATAAGCCAGCCAGATCACCCGATCCCATCAATATAGTCGCCTCTTCAGACAGGCTCTTCATTAAATGTCCTTTTACTTACAGGTTGACCAGAAACCGATCTGGGCTTCCTTTCACAAAGCACTAAGGTGATCGTAAGTCACTAAGTTAACCTTAGTGCAATGTTAAAGAATGGGAGTTAAGGTTAACCTTAGTAAAGGTTGCTTCGAGAAAGGAGCCCCTGTTCTTTAAGCAGATACCACAGGGTCCTATAGTCCGTTCGGCTCAAAAGCGGACCGATGAATTGCAAGCTAACTCGAAAACTAATAGACATAAAATACTCAATGAAACACTGATCATAATCAAAACGTCAGACCAACTCTGTGAGTTTTTTGCAGAATTTATGTCCTAAAAATAAAAAAGTTGTTTAACAAACTATCATTAAAATATTGACACAGTTCACTATTTGTTACGAGGGAGGAGTGCAGAGAAAGGGACAGCCAGGTGTGCGAGAAAGGATGGAGACGGCACAGCACAGGTTAATGAATCAATAACTTTGTCGGCACTTGTGCACGTGCTTCTCTAACACCTGGCTGTCCCTTTCTCTGCACTCCTCCCTCGTAAGAAATAGTGAACTGTGTCAATATTTTAATGATTGTTTGTTAAACAACTTTTTTAATTTTCGGACATAAATTCTGCCAACAAATGACAGAGTTGGTCTGGTGTTTTGATTAGGATCAGTGTTTCATTGAGTATTATATGTTTATTAGTTTTCGAGTTAGATTGCAATTCATCGGTCCGCTTTTGTGCCAAACGCATATACATATGGGACATTAACGGACAGTATCACGCCACATTCCACGATAAGGCGTGAATCAGAAATTCACGTCGTTGAGGCAGTCCATATAGAGTGGACCGCCAACGGAAATTTTTTCAGCACGGGTCAACTTATTCATGGCAATCTTCCACGTACTTTAATACGTGATGAATTGTACTGTGGTGCATTTGGGACACGTCAGTGGATTTTGAAAGACGACAATAAAAAGGGAGGTAACTCTTGTTGTGTTGATCCTTTTGCGCCCTAACCTTTTCCTACCGTCCCGCATATATTACAAGCTTCTATTCACACGCATTCGAGTGTGAACAGTTTCAAGAGTGTATGATAGCATGCTGGGTGTTCATGTCCTACTTAATGTCATTCAAGTTTTCTCTTTTATTGTATGCCATGTATTGTATATGTGTCTGACACAGACTTTGAGAATAAACAGTATGTAAGAGAGACGGTGGGAACTTACGCTGCTCCGTGACGTACGGGTGGATTTCTAAACTGGACAAGATGACATTCACTTAACTTCATCCATCGCGACCTGTATACACAACAACATCAGTACCCGAGGGGTGCGGGAGGCGAACAGATCCGACGTCTACCTTTCGTTCAGCAAGCCTGGATATTGTCAACACACGTGTCATGATGCACTGAGAATGATATTCAGGTATCGTTTCAGATCTCACTCTGTGGTCGGATTTCATTCACTGTTAATAATATGATATTGTGTACATCTTCCAGTTCTGGTCCACTAAATATATGTCGCTGAAGCCATTGAGGATCCTAGGTAAGTATATGTCCATATACAAGCCTTGCGTGTAGGAGGCGACCATGATTGGGTGGTCAGGGTCGGTGACCTGGCTGATAGCGGGTCATTGATACTTAATTGTGGGGCCGATGCTCATGATATCAATCACTGGGCTGTCTTGTCCAGACTTGAATATTGACAGACCGTTGTTATATGAAATGTGTTGCATTAAACGACAAAAGAAAAAAAATATATGTCACTAACAGAACAATATGATACCCATTCCGTCCAATGTCGTGTCTCAGCTACAGCATACAATCTCGACATGTCATAAACTCGTATTACATTCACTGAATTACAATCTCGACATGTCACTAAACCCTATAACATTTATTGCCGACATGTATATAACTCATTGCCGTATGAGAGTACAGGTCGCCAAGTCGTCTGACACCACGATTTCCTGTATGGAGTTGCATCCCTTGAGCATGTCAAAAATGCGTGATTGTGAGTTCTAATCCCGGTTCGTTCCGTTTATGTTCCCAGGTTTGTCAGCCCCATACCCGGCCGTGCTTTTAGGTTTCACAGAATTTGTAAATGTGTACATCCCTTCAGGCCTAGTAATTCCACATGAAGCTGACAGACCGTGATATCATTTGAATGATGTTCAAAGTAGGGGCGGGGCGGTGGGGTAGCCTAATGGTTAAAGCGTTGGCTCGTCACGCCGAAGACCCGGGTTCGAATCCCCACATGGGTACAATGTGTGAAGCCCATTTCTGGTGTCCCCCGCCGTGATGTTGCTGGAATATTGCTAAAAGCGGCGTAAAACCAAACTCAGTCAGTCAGTCAAAGTAGGGGCGGTTGGGCAGCCTAGTGATCAAAGCGTTCGCTCGTCACGCCGAAGACCCGGGTTCGACTCCCCACATGGGTACAATGTGTAAAGCCCATTTCTGATGTCCCTCGCCGTGATGTTGCTAAAAGCGGCGAAAAAACTAAAGTCACTGTTCAAAGAAGCGTTAAACCCACTCACTCACTTCCGTACAATTTGGGCATTTTACACACGCTTCTGTCATTCAGCACCACACAGTCTCACATATCAAATACATGTTTGTCTTTTATTGTCATCCGATTTCGATATAGCATACACATGTAGCAGGGGTACAGATAAGCTGGATATCTACGTAAATTACGTAGATATTTATGTGACACTTCAATTCCTATTAAGTCTATTGCGTACAAGTATGCTTGAATTTTTGTAAATACATGTACTCAATAACTTTTATCTTACATGCGTCATCACGAAAACAGATAAAATAACTGAGGTATATTAAGATTTTCTATTTCAGCACATGAGCTTGGCAACTTGCAGTCTTTCTTAGCGTTTCTCATATAACAGATCAAACATAAATAACAAACACGTAGACCAACATTTGAACTTTATTATATTTAAACAATTAATGGAAAATGGCAAAATACCCAATTGAGTTTGAGTGAGGTGGGTACAATTTATTTGGTTACTCAAGGAAAATTAAGATACCCAATTGAGATGAACACAAGCGAGTACATAACTCAATGACCCAAAAAGTTATCTGTATCTCTGCATGTATATCAGCTATTGCTATTGGTATTTCCATTCTGTCTCGAAATCTCATATACATGTCACCTATTGCTATTCTATCTTGACGTGTCATATACATCTATCATCCATTGTCAGTTTGTCCCGACATACCTGTATATCATCTAGTACCATCCTATTTCGATGTGTCATTTAACTGTATATCATCTGTTGTCATTCTGTCTCGACATGGCCTATAACTGTATATCATCTAGTACCATCCTATTTCGTTGTGTCACATACCAGTATATCATCCAGTAACATCCTATTTCAATGTCATATAACTGTATATCATCCAGTAACATCCTATTTCAATGTCATATCACTGTATATCATCCAGTAACATCCTATTTCAATGTCATATAACTGTATATCATCCAGTAACATCCTATTTCAATGTCATATAACTGTATATCATCCAGTACCATCCTATTTCAATGTAATATATAGAGAATACTACACGAGGTCTCATTACATACGAATTATACGAAACGAGTGTCCTTCCTATGGTATCTGACCGAGCGAAAGCGAGGTCAGATAACATAGGAAGGTCACGAGTTTCGTATAATTCGTATGTAATGAGACCGAGTGTGGTATTTTATTTATTACCCACGTCTTACATGCATTTAAATTGACAAAATAGCGTATTTTTGTTATGTTTTTGGTTTCAAACCGAAACCGGTTTCATAAAGAGGTTGCGGCAGAGTTTTGTACTGTAGTACAATATTTGCATGACGTCACACTAATGACGTCACTGCTATGGTAACCGACGTCACGATGCATGTTAGTTGTCATCGCCTCGTACAGCCTCCTACAGTAAACTACTCCGTTGCACCTCGTTTCTTGGTTTCCAGTTGCTTCATTCGGCTAACATCACTGGTGGAAACATTGCGTTTATATTTTTCGACAGATATAATGTCTCAGTTCGACTCACAATTAAACAGCGACATGGCAACGTTCGCAATGTTTACATTCCCACAATGCATTTAAGTTGTAGAATGAATGAATTCACGTGTTTGTTATGAATGAAAAAATAGTTACGTCAGAATGTGACCTAATTGAGAGGTCATCGGTTATCCAATCAAATCGTTAGAATTTCAGGTCAAGTCGTTACGACACAGGTCAACGCGATACGACACTCGTGTGACGTACGAGATTAATATGCAACTACCCATACGTTGACCACGTGGGTAATAAAACTGTATATCATCCAGTACCATCCTATTTCAATGTCATATAACTGTATATCATCCAGTACCATCCTATTTCAATGTCATATAACTGTATATCATCCAGTAACATCCTATTTCAATGTCATATGTAGAGATTATTACACTTCATTGAATGGCCGGGGAAAGGACGCTAACGTCTTTATGACGATATCACGATGATTGCTTCAACTGGAAGATTTAGTGGAGAGGGAAGAGGAAGGAAATATGGAAATCGAAACGAAGCAGTATGTTGAAAGTGTTTTTGTATGTTTTCTGAGTTTATTAAATTCATTGAACGTAATATTTGTCTTTGCTGTTTGTCAGATATGGGTTTTTCGGGGTGATATCGGGCAAGATATGAAAAATGAAGTGTAATGATCTTTTTATCAATTAATACCTGCCTAAATTAAGATTTTTTTCAGTTACACGTAGTTTTTTTATATCTTTGTCCATATACACGTTGTTTATTTAAAAATAACTGATACAAGCAGCAAAGACAAATATTCCGTTCAATGAATTTAATAAACTCAGAAAACATACAAATACACTTTCAACATACTGCTTCGTTTCGATTTCCATATTTCCTTCCTCTTCCCTCTCCACGAAATCTTCAAGTTGAAGCAAATGTCGTGATATCTTGATAAAGACGTTTTCGTCGTTTCCCCGGCCATGATCAAAGGATGATCTAACATGACGTCATCACTCTGACGTCATTCTTGATGTCACGTCATTCTATTCAATAACGTTCCGTGACGTCGTGTACAAAATTGACAGGGAAGATATCGATAACTTCCCTCCTCTCAGCGGGCAAGATATGACCGTGCCGATCCTGCTCATATCGGGGTGGCAAACAAGTCCATATCAGGGAAAATATCACTGTATTAAGTGATAAAACTGTATATCGTCCAGTACCGCCCTATTTCGATCTGTCACATACCTGTATATCATCCAGTACCATCCTATTTCGTCACATACCTGTATATTATCCAGTACCGCCCTATTTCAATGTCATAGAACTGTATATCATCCATTGTGAAGCTGTCTGCCGACATATCGTACACTGACACTGTGTACCTAGTGTATCCCTTAATGTTCTCGTTTGTTAACCAGACAAACCAAGTATTGATACAATGAGCACCGTCCCACCTTGTATGGATGTTTGTCTGTTTGTTGTTTAACGCCCCACTCAGCAATATTCCAGCTACATTGCGGCGATATGTAAATAAGCAAATCTGGACCACACAACCCAGTGATCAACATCCTGAGCATTCATCTACACAACTGGGATATGATGACATGTGTCAACCAAGTCTGCGAGCTTGATCACCCGATCCCGTTAGTCGCCTCTTACGACAATCATGGGTTACTGAAGACCAATTCTATCCCGGATTTTCACGGGTCGATGTGTTGACACACAGTTAGCCAGAACACGGAATCTAATCATGAGCAAAAGATCCAAACGTCGCATGTTATTACAAACCTAGGTTGCCAGATGTGTAGCCTACTCTTAATCCCCAAGGGGTAAGGGGGTTAATTAACAGTTGGCACACAATAGACCTTATCCCATACTGTTTGGTATTCATATCCAGTTAGAATGCAGATGCAGTGTCTGTACTCCTGTTATTGCTAGATTCAACCATAACATAAAGTTAGCACACGGCTAATTAAAAGATGGCTTGAAAGTGGCCAAATAAAAATGTATGCAATTGGCTGGGATTATAGCAAATCAAAAACTGACCAAGAAATGATTTGGTGCCATCATCAGATAGTTTTGCCGATGATGGTTGTGTACTTGGTTTATGGTTGGTTTGAGTGGCAGATGTAACCGGTTGGTCAGGATAACCACCTTTAAAACCACTTATCTTTACATTTTGTGTAGTGATTTAGATGCATATGGTCAAGATATAGCCAGAATCGTGCAATGGGCTCTACTTTCAGGAAATATTTCTATATTGGGAGCTTTTTGCTATTTGTTTCAACGAACTGTTGGTCCTCAGGCAGATTGAATGTGAAAAGAGTAGGATCTCGTAGAGTGCTTGTTTATTACTAATGGCTGGCTGTCACGTTAAATTTGTATCATCTAGTGCCCTCCTATATATTTGAGTATGTCATATAACTGTATATCATCTAGTACCGTTCTATTTCGATACGCTAAACATACAAAAAGTATTAAAGGTATAATTGAGATATTTTGTATGGTTGTCCACTCTCAGGGGCTTTTGGATTTTATAGAAGTATTCCAGCAATAACTGACTGACTAAGTTTGGTTTTACGCCGCTTTTAGCAATATTCCAGCAACATCACGGCGGGGGACACCAGAAATGGTTCACACATTGTGCCCATGTGAGGATTCGAACCCGTGTCTTCGGCGTGACAAGCCAACGCTTTAACCATTAGGCTACCCAACCGCCCCTCCAGCAATAAAATGTAGGATGGTAGGCCAAATCGTCCTTTAAGTGAGTGAGTGAGTGGGATAGATGGGTGCTTGGGTTGTTTCTTTGGTTTGTAAGTTTAACTGAGCAAACACAGTTCTTCACATGAATCATTTGCTCTGCGATACTGCACTAGAATATACTGCTTTTCGCAGAATTATGGGATAAATATATTATGAGTTCAGAAACAAAACAATTCTTCATGTACCACCAAAAAGGGATTAGTACACGTATATCTACAACGTAATAAAAAATACGAACAGTCTTAATACCACATCGAAAAAGAACTGAAAATTCTATAGAGATTACGGTAACGTACAAATATTTACACTACTGGACAGTGTAAACAAACACCGTAGTTGTTTTTTAAGTACGTCCTGCACAGACTGACTGTATTCCTGTGAAAAAATGAGGGTGTACCTTAACTTATTTTGAGCAGTATGTATTCTCTAAATCTGTGGTTGCAATCATTCCGGTTACAGCAGCATATATAGTACTTAAATGTCCTTTTCTCTGTTTCAGATTCCAACAGGTGTTCGCCGGTATCTTCCCTGTTGTGATTTGAACACCTGGATATATCCTCACTTGCAATCATTTAATACACGATCGTCATTGTGAATAATAATACCCAATAATAGATCGCGTTACAAAGTTCTGCAGCTAGTGATGCTATGGAGCGTGGCCAGCAACAACCTGGTACGCGTGGCTGCTGCCATCCTGCACGACTTCATCGATACTTCTGCAACACCTGGACGGATCCCTGCGTCCCGGGATCGATGCAACTCTGATCAAGTGAACATCAAACCAGTGCGCATTGCGTGACAGTCCGAGAGAGGAACGGAAGGAAACGGGCACCGAAAGGGAAATGTCTTCTGATCAGTAGAACAATGACTGGAACAATTACAAACAATTGGTGGAATTTCACTAACAGTGATCACAGGAGATCATATTTAACGTGTTTTTTATACAATGTTGTTTCAATCAAAACTTTTATTTTGGTCAACTTTGTGTTGGCATGTGCCGGACAGAACTCACAACTGAGACAATTCCCGCCGCTTTTTAACGCCGCCAAAGACAAACCAATCTTTACCAATCCGGCCACGAGCACTTGTGGAGTAGGGGTAAGAAATGCTTATTGCCGGAGTTCAACCATCGCAACGTCTGTGGACCAATGTTTACAGAACTTCTGTGTTCAGACGTGTCCAGGGAGGTTTGCATTACCCAACCCCGTGGATCTTGTGTCGGATGCGCTCAGCACTGGGCTCGGGACGTGTGTTTCGCTGGATATGGTCAACAAACGGCCAAACAGTGGTTCAGCCGATTTTTCCCGATTCATCAGTCAATCTGGAGCTGATTGTTACTTGTTCCCCATGACAAGACCGGATGTTGGGGTGAATGGAGCATTCACCTTGACCGTGTGGTTCTGGATGACCAGTACAGTTGATGGGTAAGAAGTGTTTCTGTACATAGCATAGTAGTTAAAGCGTTCGTCCTACGAAGACCTGGTTTGATTCCCCATGTGGTTACAAAGCTTGAAGCCCATTTCTGTGACCCTGCTGTGATATTGATCAAATGACAGCAAAAAAACAAATCTACTTATTCTTTCCAGGGCTGTGGGGGTAGCCTAATGGTTAAAACGTTGGCTCGTCACGCGGAAGACTCGATTCCCCACATTGGCAAAATGTATGAAACCCATTTCTGGTGTTTCCCGCCCTGATATTGCTGGAATATTGCTAAAATCGGCGTAAAACCATACTCACTCACTATTCTTTCCATACTGTGTGTGAGTGAGTGAAAATTTATTATCACATCTGCATTTAAGCCATATAAGGACTTTTTCCACATAATGGGACATCAGTTGGATAGATGGATTGCTCAGCTGTTATAGTACTCTGGCCTATGGTGTTTTGGCCAGCTGCAGTCTAAACCTTGAGGTTGTGATTAGGTTCATGTGTGTTATATCATGTGACATTGTTTATATGTTTTAATAAATACAGATGTATGTAATTAACTTTGAGCAAAAAAATCAAACTAGCACAGGCTGCAGATTTTCCAAAAATCAGGTTTGTTTAAAATTGGTTCTCCTGTCTCAGACATGTTAGTGGGTACAATCTCTGAAACCCAATGTGTGTTTTCACTCACTCACTCACTGATTCACTTACTTACTGACTCACTCACCGACTCGCCCACTCACTCCATTTTGTGGTGTCATCATCCATTCCTGAAAAATGTGACCTCTAACGTGTATTAAGTATTGATTTCATTGATCCAGAATGTGTTTGTCAAACTATGTAAACTTTTGTTTACTGTCTGTTTAAAAGCAAGATCAATAACACTTGTTTAATCATTTGGGTTTTGGAGGCCAATATTTGACTATGGAAGAACATTATGTAGGTACTGGCCATGACTATCTGGAGAGCGTTAATGAAGTACATATGGAAAAATTACATTCATAAAATAAGGATTTAGGATAAGGATAAATGACTAGATGGCTGTTCGTTATGAAGAAGATTGTTTTTAACCAGAAATTGTAAACCAAAAGTCACTGTGTTCTGTAATCTGATTGCTTGAAAAACATGATGAAATGGTATTCGATTCCCGGAAATTCGCTGCGTATTAATACATTCAAACATCGCTCACACCTTTGTATTGTTACGTATTCGTCAGCTGTGATGACGTCATTCAAAAACATATTGTGACGTAAAGTCGGAATGACGTCACAAATGAGCAGTTCCAGATGGTACCATGGGAACAGCCGTGAAACGGCCGGCTGATGACATTTCACTGCTGTACCCGTACTCCATGTCAATGAGTGCAGACACAGAAACGTGTGTGGACCTTTTGGTTTACTTTTGTGTTTACAATGTCTATCTCCTAAGTGGGTTTCAGTTTCAGTTTCCAATAGATAAAAAGTTCTTGTATCTAGAACTTATAAAAATGCTAGATCCACTTCAAAACAGCAAATGTCATGGCAGATAAATGTTTTATCTTTATGTGTTAGAAATTTACAATGAAACAAAACATTAGTTTTTTTGTTTTATCTAGGGTTTATTTGTCACATCTCTAGTTTAGAGCCTCTTCTTATCCCCATGTAAGCAACAAGTCATTATTTTGGCAAACATTCTCCTCTGTAGTCTGTAGCTAGCAAAATAGACACAAGGAATGGCGGAAATATTGAATACATGGAAGTGTCAAATATGAGTAGAAACAATACTTAGTCTTTCGTTATAAGATTGAAACTGAAACTGACTCAGACATTGATGAAACTGAATAGTAGGAACAGCAAATACTCAGTGAAAAAGAGTCTTCTCAAGTTTCTCCACCCTTCTTGTTTCAAATACCCAAGCAAATATCATATACTGTAGATGTAATGATGGAAAGAAAGGGGACTGGACCTGGATATATTTAATATTGTAGTGACACAATAGATCACCTCCAATGGTGACAGCACTTGGGGAAAGACTAAACAATGTCACATTGTATTCATCTGAAAATACAAAGAAGAATAAAGAATAAATTTAAAAAAATAAAATTTACTGTTAAAATGTTCTGATCCTATACCTACTGACAAATGGCTCAGGAGGGTAGCCTAGTGGTTTGCTCAGCATGCTGAAGACGCCATTTGATTCCCCTACAGGGCTGGATATAAGGAAATGAAACCAATTGCACTCTGTGCAACCGTTGGTTTTAACCAGGTTGCACCTGCTGCTCAATATAAGTTTATATATAATGATACAGTTTGGTATTGATTATTTATAACATCATTTATAACAAACATATTCTAGGTTAATAAGATCATTTCATCTTAGCATTTCCTGACAATCAGTTACTGTCTGTGTAGTCATCAGAATCACTGCTCCATGTCAGTTGCTTGTCATTCTGTTTTCCAGTCTATGTTCTCTAAACAGCAAAATATCAACATGCACTGGGGGCAAGTTGGTATAAATATGAGGTTGCATTTCGCAGTTTGAGGTTGCACCAGTGCAGGTTTTAAATGCTTAAAGCAAGTCTTGCCTTATGGGTACAATTTGTGAAGCCAATTTCTGGTATCTCCTGCCATGATAGTACTGTAAAATTACTAAACATGGTCTAAAATCATACTCACCTACTACTGACAAATGTCCTCAAGTCAGTGATTTGAGAATAAAATATTTACCATTTCTCAGTGGCAAATATGTATGTAGATCCCAAATGATAAATTTGTTGAATTCACACAAAAGATGTATCACTAAAGCAATAGCCATATTCCTAAAGTGTGTATTATCCAAGAATGTTTCAAATATTTTCTTATCACATGACAATAAAACTGTTGCAACAACAATTGTAACATGGACCTGTAGGCCAATATTACTGATAAAATCTGCCTGTCTGTCTGACAAATGATACCCTACTCCTGCCCCCATCCTTCCTCCCCTTCAGTACCCTCCTTTATGTAAAAGCACTTCCATTATATTGCAGTTTTCATTTTCACTTAATTTGATGACAAGTAGTAATAAAGAATTTTTGAAATAAGCAACCACAACCATTTGCCTGCACATAATTTGATCACAGATGTTCAGCACTGATAACTGTACTTGTCCTTACAACCTCCCAGGGCTGTGTACTAAACTACACAATTATCTATTTTGCCTGACATTGATCTTGTGGCAGGTTAAAGCTTTGTTCAGTTGTAAGTAGGGAATTTGTATAAAAGCAGCTTTTAGTTCTTTCTTTTTTTTGATGGGTTGAAATGAATTGAATTAATTGACCTAAAAACCTGATCGGAGTAACTGAAATCACCTGTAACTGTGATCTGATTGCCATTGCTGACTTCAGCTACTTGTAACAAGTTAACAGGTTCCCTTATAAAACAAACCAATCTCCACAGTTATCTAATGCCAAATATATTCATTGATATACATAGATAATTTTGTGGCTAAATTTCCAAGCTAAATTAATTGCAGAATATCTGTAAACACTATAGGAAATATGGCCTAATTTTAGCCAAAATTCAACAAGCATCACCAATTTGTAGAAAAAGGAATTAGCAGTCCCAGAATACCAGAATAATTGATACATGTACTAATAAATTAATTTGTGATTCCAGATATATAGTATAATGACAGCTTCCCCCTTTACCAGGTGAGCTTTCCAATACTACGCACCAGATGGTCAGTGCACGAGGATCAAATATTAATGATTAATTACTCCAAGCTGACTTCACTGATCAGTAATTAATGACCTGCACATTGTCCTAACCGTTACGGCTGCGATACCTGTTGGTAGCCCCACAGGGGCATGTCACGCTTAGAAACAGCGTTAGAAAGACATATAGGTTAGATTTCACCACGTAAACTATTTTTAAGGCCCCGGTTTACAGAACGAAAGCGAGATGATGTCCCTACAAAATGAGCTATAATGGTCACAATCAGATCATTATTTCAAAAGTTATACACCACGACTCACCGAAAACAGCTACCTTTGCAATTCTAAGCCAAAATCATGGATCAACCAAGACAGAAAAAACTCACCTTATAAATTTGTTTATTAATTCCAGCCACGTTGACAGCACCGATGTAGGGCTAGATTCGATCGGCAGCAGCATTCCACAGGTCTAAAAACTTATTGCAACATCTACAAATCATTTCCTCGACATTAAGCAGGAATTTTCTCCCAAACCATCAGCAATCATGCTCACTTGTCGGCCATAGATGGCCTTGACATTCAAGCAGAGGCCCAGATAAGCTGCGTATCCGGGTAAAATATGCATAGAAAATTTCCAATTACGCATTGAAAAATAGTTGTTGCGTACCAATTACGCATTTAAAATGTTAGATACGCAAAACATTTAAAACATATGCGTACGGAATATATTTATAAAAATCGCTTGCGTAATGAAAAAGACATCGATTGCTATCAAGTTGTACTGTTAGTATAGGACAAGTGTTGTACTGTCAGTATAGGATGAGTGATTTTTTATGAAATCATTTCCATTATATTTAACTTGGTTTTGATTAGGTATGACATAAGGCAGAACATACTTGCTTAGTAAACTTACTCAATGACGTAATACTTAGGCGAGTAGTGGGTAATGAAATACCCACTCAACATTCATAATACCCACTCCAAAAAAATACAGTGGGCACAGTACCCACATGAGCTAAATCTTATCTGGAGCTCTGTTCAAGTGATCTGAGCAGATCCGAAGAAACTGAATTGGGCCATCCGATTGGTGGAAAATATAATATACAGTAAGATTTTGCCTGTTTGCTAATGGGTGCGAAATATGAACTTTGCAATATTCTTTCTATTTTGGATGATGTACAGAACAGTAAATTGTTAAGAATAATTTTAGAGGTTGTAAAAATGCATTCTATATTTATTCATTTTTAGGAAATTATATTTATAAATATTTAATCTCTAAAATAATTCTTACCAATTTACTGCTCAAGGTCACTTCAAATGTCA